AAAAAAAACTGATATTTTATCTCACGAAATAAATTAAAAATATTTCAAAAAAAAATGGCAGTGAAATATATTCTTCCTCTCCTCACAGCTTTATTACTATGTACAAACAAAGTATAGCACTCAACTGGTACACATACGATACATTATATATATATATATATATATATATATATATATATATAAACAAAAGCTGTTTGATAAACCAAAAAGTTGTAAGGATTTTGGGGACGACCACAAACAAAAATACGCACTCTTAAGCACAGCACCTATATATATATATATATATATATATATATATATATATATAATATATATATATATATATATATATATATATATATATATAAACTATATATATATATATATATATATATATATATATATAAATTAATAAATTGCACATATTTCTAACACAATTGAGATTAAGATCAGGCATTCGTTAACGGGTATCTTGTTTGCAGACAAAAAAGCCGTCCAAAAATTTTCTTTACAATCGTTGAATTAAACCCGGAAAAAGCGGAAGTTGCTGAAGCTGTTGTGTTGGATACTGCGGTAATGGTGGTAGACCGTATAAAGTGTTCGGTTTCCCACCGCCTGATAAGTTCTGTAAAGCATTATTATTTGTCGATAATACGCTGGCATACTGCTGATTATTTGGATTATACTGCTGTTCTTGCAAATAAATAGCCTGTGATTCAGATGTCCGCTGCTGTTGTACTGCCGGCTGTTGCTGTTGTTGAAATTCTGGTTTCTGAGGTTGAGGCTGAGTCTGATATATAGCAGTTGGAGCTTGTGCAGTTGCAGATTGCTGTGGGGCTACAGTAGTTTGACCGATTGGGATACTATCACTGATCAATGTCTGAATATGTGGCATCAATTTAATTGTTGGCTGTGTTGATGGTGTTGGCAAAGTTACAGATACAGGATTGCTTGAAGGTGTCTGAACATACTTGTAATACTCTGTTGAAGGCTTATTCGTTATTTGAGATGGAATTTGGGCAGTTTCTTCAGGTGATGGTTGCGAGGTCGGTTGCAATTGAGGATATCCTATTGGTGGTGCTTGTAGTTTTAGCGGAGGCTCAATCGGAAACAGGTGTGTTTGCTGCTGTATCTGAAATTGGCCATATTGTTCCGGTTGTTTTTGCACTTGTGATATTAACGGAAGCTGGCCATATTGTTGCATTTGTAGTCCAAATGCTTGAGGTGCTACTGGTGGCACATATGACTGAGGAATTGACTGTTGATAGTTGTATAGTTGTTGCTGCTGTTGTACCAGTGATATTGGGGTAGCAAAGCTTTGGACGATAGTGGATTGATCCTGCGCAACTTGAGGAGCCGTGTCAGTGGTTCCAGTTTGACTGTTTGCTTTCGATTTTATCAGTCTTTTCGGATAAAAAAATTTTGGATCGTAATGGTTTTTTGCTGCATTATTCGAAGAGGCAATCATTTCTGGCCGTATACGTTTCGCAAAATTGCTCTTGTGATTGAAACCGTTTTCATTCTCTTCTTTTTCACCTCCATTTTCGTACGTATTCGGCTGTCTGAAAGAGGGAAACGAACGAGATTAAAGAAGAAGCCGCATTATATATATGCAGTTTTAATTCTTTATATATAATTATTAATTGATATATTGTAACCAGCAGAAAACAAAAAAAGAGTGGAGAACAAACAAGTAAAGAAGTAATTGGATAAATAGATAGGCACAGGTAAAAATAAATAAACAAATAAATGAATAAACAAACAAAAACTCACTTGACGACTTTCTTTTTAATCGCAATCTTTAGTGCAGGTGCTCCAAATGCTCGATTGTCAGCGTTGGGATCTTTTTTTTCAATTTCTTCAGGAATTCGTGGACTTAGTCCATTATTCGCCTTTTTCAGCACTTTTACAATTGCTTCTGCGGCATTGTCATCGACTGAAATAAACAACTGAAATATGAAAAAATTTTACGACTATTATTCTTTCCCTTCCTTTAAGTAATACAATTTTTGTTTCTTAAGGTGACGGTAAAAACGCGGAGGCGAACATTTAATAAGGGGAAATTTGTTGTTAGTTACTGATGGTTGTAACAGATATCTGTTGTATTCAACATCAAGTTTTTAAGATTTCTTTACTTTATCAAAGCATCCTGCATGACATTATGCCTACTTTTCTATTCTGCTTTGTTTTCCCCTACCACACCCTTTTTTTTCGTCTCTTTTTTTCTATTTTTTAAAACATTTGTTAAAGAAAATTTATTTTTTAACAGAAATGTTTGATACTGTAAAAACAGTCAGTTAAAGAACGGCGATGACTGTCTGACTAAATCCGCAACAGAATACCTGGTACACGGGGTTCTGGTGGGTCTGGTAAACAGTTCATCCGTCGTACAGTCACCTCATAGGATATTCTAAAAATACCATTTCCCTGTAGCAACTGTAGCAATTTGCTCCAAAAATAATCTAATTCAAACATTCTCAAAGTGTAAATTTGAAAAAAAAAAAAGAAGAAAGTTTGAATTTTCAGAATTTTTTTGCGCTTAATAACGGTAAACGACAACCAACTCTTTGGTGGCCAAATCGTAAACTTTTCGAACATTAGCAATCACATCAAAACTGATTTGTCGGCCATTTCGTACAACTTCACCACCAATAACTGATTCTCCTTTTTGTACATTAGTAACACCAACTTCTTGTGAATATTTTAAACCATCAAATGAGCAACATTGTAACAACAACCCAAAAAAAAAACTTATTAATGTTATCACTTCTAAATAATAAAGTAAGTTTTCTATTTGTAACCAAAATTTTTTTTGTATGAATAAAAAGAGAAACTGTTAATTTATCAAATTGCAAGACATAAATGAGCAATAATAAGCCAAGTTTCTAGTTACTATACAAGCAAAAGCTTCAATATTGTCAAGTATATCAATGTATGTCTATAAAAACCAACTTGTTTACAGGTTTTGTGGTAATTCAAAAATGATTCACTTGCATCAAAACATTGGTGTAGTGAGAGAGAGAGAGAGAGAGAGAGAAAGAGGGAGAGAGAGTAAAATAGAAGAAAAAAATGAGCAAAGGTGAAAATGAATAAAAATAAAAAATTTTTTTGAAAGAATTTTGAATTAACTACAATTAAAGATATATAAAAAATTTCAATTTTCTCAAAAAAAAAAATTCTTTTTCAATAAAAATTTGATAGAGCAGACTGATATCTAAACAGTCAATCTAACTGACCATTGAACTGTTGTTTTGGTAAGTGTACATTGATTTAAATCAATTAACAAAAATTTTTTCAAAAAAAAGTGAGAAAAGGCTTCCTTTCAATAATTTTTAGGTAATAAGTAAAATTATATTTGATAATACTTCAAATTTTTTTCGACTGTTTGTTATATCAATATTTAAAAAACAAAAGAAAAAAGGCAGATAACTTACGGTTGTCTATGATGATCGATGTATTCAATACCTCCAACCCACTGGTTTTTTCTGGGACAAGAAAATTCATTAAATTTACCAGAACAATTCTGAAATGCATGTGCTGTCTTCTTCTGCGAACTTCTTATAAGGTTTCAGCAAAGCAGCCATAATTTATAAGCCTTGTTCAAGCAATTATACCAAATTGACTTACAGCAACTAGTCTTACAGCTGATGGATCTCTATAACGTTTCAAATCTTTGTCACCTTCTCGAAGAAATCCATCAATTTGACCCTCAACATTAACTGGAAAATCGCTAGCATCACCCAAATTTCCCGGTCCAGCGACACAGCTTGGTTGAGCACATCCCAAAAGTGGTGCTCCTACCAATAAATTAGCATAAAAAATCTGCTCTTTTTTTTTCTCTTTGAACAATGTAACAGTATTTATCATTTAAGATGGCTCTAAAAACTTTTATATATTACATCTTGTTTTGTATTTAAAATTGAAGTTTTTTCACTTGTATAAGATTGATCTTCAATTGAATAAGTAAAAAACTAAGTACAAAGAATTATGATTAAGATAAATGACTGCATTCCTACAATGTTGATCATCTAAGGACTTCTTTTGAATTATCGATGATGACTGCTAAAAGGCTGTTCGATTGTATATTTTAGTTGAAACTTTATAAAAATTGTTCTGCATCATTAATTAAAAACACTATTATTTGGAAAAAATGTTAGTTTAGAATTTAAATATTAAAAGTTTCTTATAATCGATAAATTTTTTAGTAGTCAAAAGATTATTTTTATTTTTTGTTTTTCTATTTCTCTGTTTCTCTGATGTTTGAATTTACGGCAAAATAAGAACAGAAGTTCAGGTTAGAACTACCAATTTTTGATATTATATAAACTTTATTGTGGCTAAAAAAACTTATTGTTAAGCTATTAGAAGAAAAAAAAAGAGCAAATAATACAGACAGTTGAAAAAAGAACGAGGTTTATAACTGCTGACTGACCTGTTCGGGTAACTTCGAAGCTAAACGGTACACCACCGGTACCACAGTAAGCAGCCAAACAGTAAGTTATTGGAATAGCCAAAAAAATAAGACCACTGAGCTTCTGCATACGGATTTATTCAACTATAAGAAAACGAAAACAATAGAAAAGCTAGAAAATTAAATGTAATAATTTTAAAGTTAATCATCTTTGAAAATTATTTGCACTGTAAAATTACGTATAACAAACATTTGTACTTGAAATGTACAATGTAAAAAAGCGTAGTAAAGATGTGGAGCAGGTGAAAAACATGTGAAAATTATAGCCAACAATAATAAACAAAAAAATAAAAAACAAAAAACAAAACAAAAGATTTTGATTTTTGATTATTGCAAAGATATTAAAGAGGTTTCTTGTTTTTTAAAAGATCCCAACAATGATGAATGTAAGGATGACGACAACGATAAAGAATCTGATGTCGATGCTGGTTGATAATGTTGATGATGTTATTTGTAAATTAATTTAAAGTACTTTATTTATACTAGAAGTCTATGTTTCGTACAGAACACTTCAAATACGTATGAAAGTTATCTATCAATATATCAAAAAAAAAAAAAAAAAAAAAAAAAAAAAAAAAAA